AAAGCCAGTCACATGGTAGAGACGTCTTCATTCTGAGTTTTATTAATTTAAAGTAGTTCCCTAGAAGCAATCTTGCTGTTGTAATTAGAGTATAACAAATGATTTAGCCCTCAGCCTAGGCAGTTTTTTTTTTAATTTCTCATCACTTAGTGAGCTAAGAACTTCCTAGATGAAAAAATTCAGATTGATATTGAAAGTGTTTTCAGGTCAGGGTATCCTTCTGATAATCATGGTGTGTCTGCAGCCCCTCCCGGGAGGTTTCCGGGGTTCTCAGCTCACCTCCCATCTCTTACTCATTTAGTCAACAAAGATTTATTGAACACTGTTTGCCGGGTTCTGTGTGAGGCACTGGGAATAATGAGATAAACAGGATGCTTTTATGTATATTTAGTCACTAACCAAACTGGACCAGTCATCCTCCCTAATAGGCTTAATTTTTTCTTTTTCTGTATTTTAAATTTTATTTTTAGATTCCCCTTATAAGTGAGATCATGCGGATCATCATGTCTTTCTCTGACTTCTTTCACTTGGCATAATGTCCTCGAGGTCCATCCATGTTGTTGCATATGGCAGGATTTCATCCTTTTTATGGCTGAATAATATTTCACTGTGTGTATATGTGTGTGTGTGTGTGTATCTCGCTACTTTTTTTAATACATATTTTTACTGAAGTATAGTCAGTTTGCAGTATTGTGTCACTTTCTGGTGTACAGTCATACATGAACATAGATATATTCATTTTCATATTCTTTTTCACCATAAGTTACTACAAGATATTGGCTATAGTTCCCTGTACTATACAGTATGAACTTGTTGTTTATCTATTTTATATATATTAGTATCTACAGTTCTTAAACTCCCAATTTATCCCTCCCTCTGTAACCATAAGTTTGTTTTCTATTGTCTGTGAGTCTGTTTCTGTTTTGTAAATAAGTTTGTTTGCCTTTTTTTTTTTTTTTTTTTAGTATTTCACATATAAATGATATCATGTGGTATTTTTCTTTCTCCTTCTGGCTTACTTCACTTAGAATGACATTCTCCAGCTCCATCCATGTTGCTGCAGGTGGCATTATTTTATTATTTTTTTTTGGCTGAGTAATATTTATTACTACTTCTCTATCTAGTCATCTGTTGACAGACCCTCAGGTTGCTTCCATGTCTGGGGTGTTGGAAATAGTGCTGTTGTGAACGTGGGGGTGCAGCTCTCTCTTCAACACAGTCCAGGTATGCTTTTGGGATGATGGTCTCACAGCCAGGAAGACCTCCCTTCTTTTGCTGGGTGAGCTCTTCCTGTCTGTCCAGATGCACTTCCTGGGGAGAGACTTCCCTCCTACCCCAGACAAAACGGTCTCTTCATTTCTGTGGCTCTTTGTTAGACCCCTTTCTTGTTAAGTCCAATGCAGAGAAATGCTCATCCCGAAGAAGTCTTCCCCGAGGACCCAGATAGTGGTGGTCAGAGGGATACTGAGCCCATACAGTGTGGCCCTGACACCTGCATTCCCCTCCCCCCAGCGAGGGGGCAGGGCAGATCTCGGTGGTAGGAGCTGGGGCCTTAAACCCCTACACTGGCTTTCCCAGGTGGGGCGTGACATGGGGCAACTCTGAAGATTTCTCAGCCCTCATCTGTAAAATGACAGTCCGCCCCCAAGTGAGATACAGCTGCGAAAAGTGCTTCAGAGCTGGTCTTCCCCATTAACGCGAAAGATCATTCTATGGGTACCGGAAATTGTCACTGCCAGCGGAGCACGGAGACCGTTGTGTTTTCTGTGCAGAAGTGAATCAGGTTAGTGGGGGTCCTTCTCCTGTTCTCTCTGCTCTCGTAGGTGCTTGAGATTTTCCACAAGAGGAAATGTTTTTAATCTATAAACAGGGCTTTCAGCTTATAAAATACCATCCCATCTGACGTGGTGTAACTGTCCTAATTGCTGCTATATTTGCCTTTCTCCGCTACGAGATGTTGATTTTCCTGAAGGCAGGAAATGCCTCCCTCCTTACTGGGTCTCCCCAGCGATGGCATAGTCCACTGTGCGAGTGCCTGGACAGCGACACTGCCTGCTCGGTGACCCTCCTGGGGCTGGCTCACACCATCGGCCTCCACGCAGGAGCCACCTGAGAAGGGTGCCCTTCTGGTGTTTCAGTAACTAAATCCCGATGGCTGAGGGCCATGGAGGATTTGTTGCAGATTAAATTCCTCTCTGCAATAAAACGGTGTTAAAGTGAGGTTTCAGTGTCAAGCCAGAGAACAGTCTTTATTTTTAAGTTGGTTTTTGGCTGGGAAGCACATACACACGGTAGAGAATTTTTAGCTATGTCCAGGTCTGCTCTCAGAGGTGCTCAGGGTCTGCGATCTGAGGTCGCCTTTAGAGGTCATCTGTACTGACATGACCATGTGGCTCTCTTTTTCCTCTCTGTCTTGAGTACCATTCAGAGTCTGTGTTCCCGCACTGTAGCTGATATAACCGTTTTCTTATAGGACATTTAGATCGTGATAGCCAAAGCTTCAGAAAAACATTGGCAGTAAATATCTTTATAGATTCCCTGTGTGTACCTACGGAAGTGTATCTGTGGAACTAAGTTCTTGGACGCGGAATTGCTGGGTCACTGAGATGGGCATTTAAAAACTCCTGAGAGTCGTGACGCTCCGTACCAGGTTGTGATAACTCACTCTCCCAGCGAGACTGTAGATTTGTGCTTTCTCTTGCCAGCATGGGGTATCAGACTTTCTGATGTTGGCTGGTCTTTTGGGTATAATGTTTTCATTTGTGCCATGACCTTTTGTATGTTTAAAATCCATTTGTTTGGGAGTGACCACTAATGTGTACGAGATTTCTTTCTTTAGCTGGTAGAAGTGTTACGGAATTAGATAGTGGCGATGGTTGCACAGTCTTTGTGAATACGCTAAAAACGATTCAATTGTACACTTTAAAATGGAGAATTTTATGGCATGTGAATTGTACCTCACTAAAGCTGCTGTTTTTAAAAAAAAGCCCATTTGTGTTTTCTGCAAACGGACTTCATTTCCTTTGTTTTTCTGTTGCCCTTTTTCTTATAGGGTAGTTAAGTTTTTGTCTTAGTTGTGTTACGTTTATTTTTCCCGTTGGCCATTTGCTCTTTTGATCTTGATTCTTTGATTTTGCTCTCTTTTAGCCAATGCAGAAAAAAGAAATTTTTTTATAGTTGGTTAGTTAATTAGATCTTTTTTTTTTTGTAAGAGACCCTGAGGTGATTTTTCACACTTGGAAAGGTTTTTCTTCAGTATTACTTATTTTTTTAACTTCCTTGTTTCTTCTGACTCTTTTATGTTTTATCTTTTTTTATGTATTTAAATCCGTGATTTGGTTGGAATGTAGTTTGGCATAAGTTGTGAGAAAGGCATGCAGCTTTTCTACTCTCTGGTGCTACTCAGCTGCACCCACACTATTTAAAAAAAAAATAATCTATTTTACCCCATTGGTTTTACCCCACTTTTATCATTTACTGAGTTCTCTTATGTATTTGGATTTAGTTCCCTTTTTTTTTAGGTTTTCTTTAACTTTTAAAATACTTTTTGTGGTCTAAGCATATGGTCTTTTGTTTTTTTAATTGAAGTATAGTCCGTTTACAATGTTGTGTCAATTTCTGGTGTACAGCACCATATCTCATACATGTACATACATATATTCCTTTTCATATTCTTTTTCATGAAAAGTTACTACAAAATATTGAGTATAGTTCCCTGTGTATATATACAGGATATTGAATATATATCCCTGTGCTATATATAGAAACTTATTTATTTTATATATAGTAGTTAGTATCTGCAAATCCAGAACTAATTTATCCCTCCACGCCCCCTCCCCCACCCCAGTCTAGTTTCTGGGCTTACGCTGCCCCATTCTGGCTGTCTTCATACGCTACTACCACACTGTTTTAATTACTTTGACAATAAAGGCTAGTCCAAGTTCTACTGTTTACAGAGTTTTCCTGATTGCTGTTGATTATTTTTTCCCTAATTGAACTTGAGAAGAATTTTTAAGGGTTTTAAGATTCTATTGATACTTAAAAAAATTAATTTGTAGATAGATTCCTATAAAATTGGCCATTGTATTCCTTCTTTTTCATTTCTCTCTCTCTTTTTTTTTTTTTGTCTCATGTCCCTCATGCCCTCAGAGCAACATGAAACAATGGAGATCATGGTGGAAATTCTCAGACTGCCTCCCTGAGTTCACGGGCAGGCTTTAGGCACACGTATTGATAGTCACAGGTGAAATTGGTCTCTGTGGTTCTTGGGGTTTTTTTGTTACCGTGTTTGGTTTTATTATCTTAGAGATAATATTTTTAAAAATATTTTTATTGAAGTATAGTCAGTTTACAGTGTTGTGTCAATTTCTGGTGTGCAGCATAATGCTTCAGTCATATAGGAACATACATATATTCGTTTTCATATGCTTTTTAACCGTAAGTTACTAAAAGATATTGAATATAGTTCCCTGTGCTATACAATATAAACTTGTTATTTATCTATTTTATTTTATTTTTGTTTGTTTGTTTTTCTTTGGGGTGGGGGGAGGTAATTAGGTTTCTTTCTTTCTTTGTTTTTAGAGGAGGCAGTGGGGACTGAACCCAGGACCTCATGCATGCTAAACATGCACTCTACCACTTGAGCTACACCCTCCCCCCTGTTTATCTATTTTATATGTAGTAGTATCTGCAGATCTCAAACTCCCAATTTATCGC